AAAAAAAAAAAAAAAAAGTTTATATAAAGTGTTATATTAGTCTATAAAACGATTTTTTAAAATACTTTAAGTTAAGTAGATTGTTTTATTAAAGTTAATGAAAAGTGTCTTCTAAGATTATTATAGCGTTCAGATAGATGGCTGGCATTCATTGTGACAATAGTGACTATTATACAGTTGTTTTTAACTTCTCAAACGATGAACCGATCCCAAACTAGGATTCTATGTTCTGTGTGAGCTAAATACAGACTTATTTACTTTATTCTTACACATGCATAAATGGATATTGAACAATCAAACGAAGAGCAATCAAACCTATTTGTCGCTATGTTTGCCCAATGTAGGAATCGAATCTACAACCATTGGCTCAGCAGTCACAAACGTTAAGCACTGCGCCACCGAGTGAATCATGATTTAGTAGAACCGCTTGTCGATCGAATGCGCGTATTTTCCCATATTTTAAGTGTCTCATAAATTCCAACCATAAGCATTACTGATCTAAAACCGCTAATGTCATCTAATGTATGTAGTAAATATTATATAATTTGCAATAAAATTTAAATAACATTAAAAAAAAAACAAGGAATTCTTCGTAAATCGTTTCAATTTTATGCAAAACAGCGATTTGATTTGTAGAATGACGTTGTTAATAAATACGACAACAGCTAAATGCGCATTGGCTCAAGAGCTTTGCCACCAATCTTCCATGAAAAATTTCTCAGGGACTAGCGCTAAAATTTAGCTCGTACATTCACGGCCATGAAGAAATACTAGGGTACGTTTTCCCTACGGGAGCAAGCTTATGTCATGCTATTTATTGCGGTAACAGAGTTTCCCAAGTGTAATATTATATCGAGTGGGATTTACTTCTATTGGCAACTTTAAAATGCTACTTTTGCGGTAGGCAGCGGCTTGGCTCTGCCCCTGGCATTGCTGAAGTCCATGGGAGACGGTAACCACTCACCATCAGGTGGGCCGTATGCACGTCTGCCTACAAAGGCAAGAAATAAATAAAAAGTTGAATTTAGTAAATCATTTATTAAGTACTCTATAGATAATAATTGAATAAAAAAATTATAGATGTTATGAACTAAAGACAAAAATACCGATGATGTATCTCAGGAATTATTTCCCTCGCGATTGCAAGCTATTTAAAAGTTTAAAGTATCTACCTATATATATTAATACGTGAAGCAAAAACTTTGTATCCCTTTTTACGAAAATTGTGCGGATGGAGGAATATGAAATTTTGCACACTTATTGATAATATAGAGAAGAATTGCACAATGCTAATATTTTTTCTAAATAATGCATAAAATATACATTAAATCAATAAAGAAAACATTACACACACTACATACCATGTATTTGACGCACACACGCATGCATACTATTTATTGTCAAACTTTTGTTCTTGGCGTCTGTTGTCAAATTGAGAATAGATTAAATATTGTTTGTCTTTGTTAATATTTTTTATAGTGTAGTCTTGGCAAAATTAGTGATTATAGAAGTATAAAATACAATCATAATAGTGTACAAACTTACAATTCCAATTAATTATAGTCGAATTTCGACTACTGCGGGATCTCTAGTATAGCTTATTGTAAGATCCATTTCTATCTAAATATGCGGAATATTTAGAACTTCAGAACTTTAAAGAAATTTATATTTTACCTGTTAAAAGCTACGAGTTCTTAAGCTTAAACTGCTTACTTAGTTATATAAAGTTAATTCAACAAAGATTTGTTTCTCTTAATAAATGTAGTATTGGCAAATTTAATAAGTTAACAATTCGAAAATATGTCTGAAATATTTTTAAAGTATTTCCGATGAGATATTTTGACAATCATTTTATATATTTTTTGGCACAGACGATATACTACTAATTTGTTTATAGACTAATTTGTTTTTTTTTGTGGGCATGAAGTCTATAGAGTCTTCTTGAATTTCTAAATATTTTATTCTAGGTATGTGACAGCAGTTCGAAACACGCGTTACATGGGAAAGCGTTTAGCTAATTTCGTTGAATATCTGGACCGGGCGGGGGTGAGAGCGTCATCATTGCACGTCATAGGGTTCTCATTAGGAGCGGAGGCCGCGGGGTTTGCCGGCAAAGAGCTTAGAAGAAAAGGTGTTGCTTTGGGTAGAATAACAGGTGAGATTAGATTATTAGATTGAATACCTCATTCTATAGAAGTGTCGAAAACAAAATATGAATGAAGATTAAAATTTAAAAAGCTAGTGAAACTGGACACGTTTCGCTGTGATTATCGTGGAATGTTATATGAAAAAAAAAACGCTCATTTTTTTAAACCTTCTTCAAACCTTCAAACGAGATTTGTGGAGAGTACCTACTTAACGGGAGGCAGCGGCTTGGCATACTGACGTCCATGGGCGACGGTAACCACTCACCATCAGGTGGGCTGTATGCTCGTCTACCTACAAGTGCAATAAAAAAGTACTAGTCTACCATACTTTTTGGTGGTAGGACTTCTTGTGAGTTCGCACAGGTAGGTACCACCACCCTGCCTATTTCTGCCGTGAAGCAGTAATGCCTTTCGGTTTGAAGGGTGGGGCAGCCGTTGTAACTATACTAAGACCTTAGAACTCATATCTCAAAGTGGGTGGCGGCATTTACGTTGTAGATGTCTATGGGCTCCAGTAACCACTTAACTCCAGGTGGACTGTGAGCTCGTCCACCCATCTAAGCAATAAAAAAAAAACTAGTACTAACATACATCTTCCCGGATCAAAACATTACAACACGACTGTACTTTGTTTTAATTCTATCGGATACACGACGCGCGAATACATTTATCGCGATCGAAAATACGCAGCCACTAAATTAAATATCACATTAATATGGCGTATGAAAATAAATATTTTTCTGTTACATTTGAAAGTTAATAATAAATCTCACGACGAATAGCGTGAATCCAAAAACAGGATAAGTCTTCAGGAGACATGTACAGCGTATTGATAGCATTATTTGGCTTAGTCTGCCTTTATTTGGTACAGGCATCGCAATATGTATTTTGCCACCCACCTTATAAGATATGAGATTGAAGTCCGGATTTAATATCATGAAGACCCATCATTGAAACTAGAACGTAGGATAACGCTATCCATCCTTTGCTGTTGATATATTTATTTTCAAGTTCCTCTGTAGCGTAACAATACTAATTGCAAAGAATGTTGCGATTTAAAATATTTAAAAATCATTCTGGTTAAAGGTAACGGTAATAATTCACTTGTAATTTTTCGATATTAATGGTTTCCCCATAATTTTAGTATTAATATATTTAATTTTAGTGGTCAGAATGGATTAATCGGGTGACCTTTAACTTATCCAAAAAATCAACCATTTTCGTATTTCCCAGCATCACTAATATAAATATTTGTTTGTTGTTTTATTGTATAAAAATATTTTACGAATAAAGTAGCTTGTTTGTCTGTCAGCGTATAAAATAATTCCATAGATTAATTGATACCAAGAAGAGTTAATGTTGAGAATTTTAAATGACAACAATGGAAATAAGATGAACAGATTTGAATGCTAATAGATTTTAATCCATAATATGTTGAGGATTAGATTAAATGCTGATGAGTTCGCATTGTTCCATTAAGATCTTAGTGATATAGTTTCCTCAATAAAATGTGTTGTAGTATATTTTTTCGTTTCGGAAGTTTAATTTATGTCTAGTACAAAAATTAAGAAAATAAAAATAATCGGAAACGAAAATAATATCTCCACTATTGCAATTTCAGGTTTAGACCCGGCTTATCCTGGTTACAGTCTGTCCAATAGTGACGGGCATCTTGCCAAGGGTGACGCCATTTTCGTGGACGTGATCCACACGAATCCTGGCATATTTGGCTTCCCTCAAGCCATAGGGGATGTGGATTTCTACCCTAATCCTGGCAAGTGGATCCAGCCGGGCTGTTGGGTAGACCAGCTTATTATAAATAGAGAATTTAGGTTTATTTGTAAGTATATTTCTCATAATCAACACACACTCCATACAATAGATTCAATAATCACAAATTAACTTTATTTTGTTTGCCTTAATTCCGATATCGGCATGTACACACAAGAGTAATTCACGATTCACTCCTTTTATCATTTATCGACACCACTTCTTTGTATACAGTATTATCACAAAATACATGAATTGAAAACAAATATTTAGATACTTTTTAGTACAATGGACGGTATTTTCGACTTTATATAGCAGCCATTTCTTTCAGACTACTGTGTATTGTTATTGCTAAAGGAATCTTCCTATTACAAGGTTTTTCATTGCGGTACCTACCCATCTTTGAAATGCTCTGCTATATTGCGAAGTTACAATAATCAAAAGTCATTAGTCCGCGTTTAATCTTTTTTTTCTCTCATTCTCATTGTCATTTTAACAACAAAACAGGCTTTATTGCAATCGTTAGGAACGTGATACGAGCTCCTAAAAGAAACAAAAAAAATTATGGACGACAAAAACAAATTTATAGAAACGTTTTGTGCCATTTTTATTCAGATTTAGATATAATTGGATATTTTTTCAGTGCCATTAAACATAAATCGTCATTAATCAAATTAGGTTTCTTAATTAATTAATTTATTAAATGTAATTATACTTTGGGCCGGTTTCGAGATTTCGACTTCATATCTCGATTCGGGCTTAGACATTCGCATTGTGATATGTCTTGATTCCTAAAATATTTTAATGGCACATAGACTGGGAGCTCGTAAATGTATCCACAGTAATAAAATACAAATATTAAACGAATAAACGTGGTTGTCGTACTACGTGCGCCCCACCTCGTCCCGCAGCATCCCTAGTGACGTCAGAGCATCGATCGTCTCCCGCCGAAACGATAGGGTTGTAACATTCTTACTGTACGTAATAAGTATTGTACGTAGAATCATATAGGTCATCCTTTGAAATGTTTTATATAAGTAAGGGCTTGGCTATGCCTTACTCTTACTAATACGTGCTACATTTATTCCAAGATCGATTTTAGTCAACCAGGCTTACTATTGAAGACTTTAGGGCTTTCCTACTCAGCAATAAGAACGCAAATATCGCGGCATAAAAGACAGTGTAATACGCGTGCAATATCCTACTAGCATATAAGATAAAAAAAATTAAGATTACTGGTGGCCTGGAGGCCTTACCAGTTTCACCAGGATAGGTGGGTAAGGGCTCAGCCAGGAGGGGTGGGGTTTGCTAACAGCTACCCAAGCGCCTCCAAAGGAGACCTAACAACTCAAGAGAAACTGTTTCGCGAATGAATCTACTACCGGATCGGAATCGCGATCCGCTGAGAAAATCCGGCGCGAAACTCAGCGGGCTGATGTTTAGGTTAGGTTGCACGTAGAACTCTTTGTCGCGTTCGACGAGTACGGTTACCGGGGTCTCTAAGCCTGCTCCTAGTGTTAGAGCTGAAGGCGTCTAATGCAACGGTTATTGGATCTGATGGATCCGTAAGGACGTCAAGTGAGGATACTATTACTACTGATGGATGATATTGAACGACCATCAGTGTTCAGTTATTCAGTTCATTTATTAATCAGTTTTTCTCTTACCTAAGCTGGTAGCCTAGGGAGTTATGCCAACGTAATCGAGCGAGGAGTTAACCTCATGGGGCTCTAATCTGAGGAAACATTAGTCACAAGAAACATTTAGCGTATACGAATAGTTCCATTAAGGAGGTTCTTTGACAACATTTATTAGTTATGGTAAGAAGGCGTATCGCAAGCCTTAGTATACTACAACTGACGGATGACGCTGTAAGACTCACAATATTCGGTTATTAGTAACAAGATAATTTCAAATAAACGAATAGTGCCATTCAAGTTTGTACCAAGGTTCTTTGACAATTTTATTGTAAGCACGCACGTGTAGGCATAATCCTGACTATTTCTGTCATAAGCAGTCGTGCTTTCCGATTTGAAGAATAGAATAGCCGTTGTACTATCCAATTGAGACTTCTAGCTTATATGCTTCAAAGTTGACTGGAGGTGGGTCATAGCCTCGTTCAATCATGTATGTAATAAAAAACAAATGCTATTATTATGCTAAACAAGAAAAAGTTCCGGCAAAGAAAAAGAACGTCTGTCTCAACCTCTATAGACATAAACAATCCGTATTAACGTTTTCGTAACTTGTAAATAAAGGGTCGATAAAAATATTTTATCGTCAGTAAGAACAAGAGATTTTGTTCAAGTGATTCACCACTGAACAGATTAACGACAAAAACAAGTTCCGAAATGAAGCGGTTGATTTCAATTTAGTCAATTTTACGTGATCAAAACAGTTTGTTGACAAATATTTTAACATGCTTTTATTAGCTTGGTATGTATGTATTGTTAGGTATGCATGTTTGTATATAACGAATTCTATGAATTTTATTGTCACCTATTTCAAGACATCCGATTACCTTGAAAATTTGCTAATGCATCCAGGATTGATGACAGAACAATAATTTTATAATTTCGTTCTAATATCCTTAACGAAATTAGCAGGATTTAAAAAAAAACAGAAATTAATTGTAATCACATGTTTTTAAAGTGGAAACTTCTTTGGCATCGTTGTGATTTGAAAGTCGATGAAACTAAAAAGCGACAGTAATACATATTAGTTTAAAAAAACTAACAAAATACGCTTTTATAGAAAATCCAACTAAAAAATAGTTTTTTTTAAATTAATTTGAATTAAGAATAGTGAATTATTGTAAAAAAAGCGTGGGGTGCTCTTCAGGATATTATCAAAATAACCCTTCTACTCTTATCTGTTCATAAAATATTTATAACTACTTGTACCATGCACCCCACGCTTTTTTGGGTTGGATTTTCTGTAAAAGCGTATTTTGTTATTTTTTTTTTACTATTATTTATTTTTCATTTTTTAGTTGAATTTCAATATTTTCAAATCTTTTTTAATTTTTTTTTTAAATATTGTACTGGCATCGGCCCTTAATAAGTAGGTATACCAAATTTCGAGTTAATCTGACGTTTTGAAGGGGTCAAAATCATGTTCAAAGATTTCGTTACAAACATACGTCTGAAGCTAATAAAAGCGTATTAAAAAGAGACAGACACATAAATTCATAAGATAAAGTGGGAAAAAATGAGATAGGAAGCATTATACACTGCTTGTTATATTCGTGGTTCTCTTTGCGCTCTGCTTCGTACCTAATATTCGTACTTAATACATTCTAAATAAATCTATGTAATGTATACGAATAAAATGCAAAATAATTATCAATTATGATCATTACTAAATCCTACAATTATCCTCATTCAGACAGCTTACAGCTCGTTTCCTTATCTTGAAGGCAAAATTTTTGAAGTTTTCACAAATACACACGTTTGTTTTTTAAACTAAGTATATTATATAATGAATGTGTATGATAAGAGATGCACCTTACAATTTACTGATTAGAGAGAAACCTTGAAAATAATATATACATACACATACACACATACAAACAGATTAAATAGAAAAACATTAGTTACTCGCATCTGCTTCTAACGTGTTAACGATCTCTAGGAGGCGAACCAGACGGGAAATTAGCTTAGCTCCGAATTACTATGAGATTGATGATGAGGTTAAGTGAATTTTCTGCATATCAGCCCATCACAGTTTAGGCGCGATCGATTTCACCCCAAACTGATTTTGCTTTTAGAACACAGTATTTCCTTTCTATTAGATAATAATAAAGGTTATGTTTGGTGATTTAGTTTACTTGTAACGCGACTTGGATTGTTGTAAACATTATTAGATTGTTAATGCATGAACAGATATTACAAAATTTTGGTGGCAATGATTCGATATGCTTAAAATTAATTGTCTTTACTTTTTTTTTTATAAGATTATTAGAGTATTGTTTTTCTTAATGTATCTAAAACAATATAACCAGTTAACATGGTATAGATTTCGAAAATTGTATTGTTTACGTATTCACGAAGACGGATGGATATGGATCAATTTAGAACTAATTTAGTAGACTTTTTTCTGAGCTTCATGAAACATACATAATTTTGACAGTCGAAATAATCATATTTACGTAAGGAATAATGTTTCAGTTGTATGAATTTGATGAGATATATAACACATAATATGTATGTATATATGTACATATTTCATTAATATTTAGGCATCATTATTAGTAAGCTTTAAAATATATTATCCTTGAAACCTATTTGAAAGTCCCATATATTTATGTCGCTAAAGAGTTATGCGTTTCGGGTTGAAAGATTGGTCAATCGTTGCAATACAATTGAGCTTTCGAGCTTATGTCTTAAGATGGTGTCGTTCACGATATGATGTCTCCGTGCTCCGGTAATCACTTAACAACAGAAGGGCCTTGAGCACCAGTGAACCGTCACTCATTTACGAAAAAGATTACATTTACACATTAATTACGGTAATTTGATTTACATACACTCTTAAATCAAAATAAACGCTTAAGTCGCAAATGGAAATTACTCTGACCTCATTTTGTGAACATATAATATTATATTTGCACATGACATTTTCTCATACACATGTATCTATAAGCCTAGGAGGGTGTCTCTGTTTGGCCCCGCGCCAAAGATTGATCTTTCAGTAAATGTCAATAGCTTATTAGCGATAATGTACCTGGGGTCGACCTACGAACAAATCGGACGCACCGAACCAGAATGTTAGTAGGTTATGAAATACTATGATATATGATTTTTTACAGGTGGTAGGACCTCTTGTGAGTCCGCGCGGGTAGGTACTACCGCCCTGCCTATTTCTGAGGTGAAGTAGTAATGCGTTTCGGTTTCAGGGGTGGGACAGCCGTTGTAACTATATTGAGATCTCTGCACTTAAATCTCAAGGTGGGTGGCGCATTTACATTGTAGATGTCTATGGGCTCCAGTAACCACTTAACACCAGGTGGGTTGTGAGCTCGTCCACCCATCAAAGTGTTTTTAAGATGTTGATACTATCCTCTCACAAATTACCAGTGTGCTTAGTGAGATTTCCCTACCTTCCTAATGGCAAACAGGAGCGCTGTTCGAACTCCATACAAATTTGAGTTAACTTTAACGCGATCGAGAAGTTAAAAACTCGCACAAAGCAAACAAGATGGCTTTAATAAATTGTTGTATTCAATGTCATGTTCAGATAAGTCAAATGAAATTATTGTAATACCCTCAGATGGTTGCAGTCACGTCCGATCGTGGAGGCTATACGCAGAGTCAGTGGGCAACCCTTTAGGCTTCCCGGCGACTCTGTGCCGAGATTGGAAGTCGGCCACCAGTGCCTGTCAATTCCAAGTACACGGGTATTTAGGAATAAGGGCCGGATTGCAGTGAGTGACTTTTTTTTTAAATGGCTTAGAATGGTGGACATTGCAGTGTTTATATATTCTGATGACCGCTTAAGCTGAGGTTTGTTCTCAACTCCGTCGTATTTCTGAGCCGTAATATACGCAGTAATCACGATTTTTTTTTATTGCTTAGATGGGTGGACGAGCTCACAGCCCACCTGGTGTTAAGTGGTAACTGGAGCCCATAGATACCTACAACGTAAATGCGCCACCCACCTTGAGATATAAGTTCTAAGGTCTTAAATATAGTTACAACGACTGCTCCATCCTTCAAACCGAAACGCATTACTGCTTCACGGCAGAAATAGGCAGGGTGGTGATACCTAACCGCGCGGACTCACAAGAGGTCCTACCACTAGTAAAACTGACTTTAATTTTTACAATGTTTTGGTTGAAATGTTGGTCAGGGCTTACTTTGAGTACCGCGCCGTCCGAGCTCACTTACCAAGTGGAGTCAAGGAATTCGAATTCCGTAATCTAACTTGAGGCATGAGGTCCAAATCTCAATTTTTCAGTATGGCGGTTGTCTCATTCTTCGAACTGGGAGCTGTTTAACGCAGAAATAGGCTAACCGTACCTTCCCGTGCAAACTCACGACACGCCTTATCAGGCTTGCTCGTGATAACGAATGAATATTGTTCTTGCCTGTGCACTCTCTTAATTCGGTCGTCATGGATATATTCTAAAATTAACGATTTCAAATATTCGTTGCTTTTCAAGTATTCAATAAATAAATAAATACTAATGATAAAAATTACTGATTCAACAAGAATGTATCACTTTCCTGGGAATAATTATTGTTGCTTGTGTCAATGTGGTCCATAAATTATGAGTCAGCCAACCAGATTTGTAGACTCGTTGGTACGTAAAATCACGATCCGAACAGACAGTCGTATTTATTTATAGCAAATAGATCCGGCGTCGCTAGAGTCATTTTATTTACCGTCATGACGATGAAAAGTATACCCTGTTCTTCTAACTGAGGCAATATCTTTTTGCGAAATTTTATCCAAAAATCGTTTGTTTTATTTTCCAAATAACATACAAATTTTCATATTTAAAAATTAGTATATCTATTTGTAAATTAGTGTATGGTCTAGCCAGAACCAAGGGAAGTATTCTCTAATAAAATTATCATTCTTTTCTCCCAGTATTTGTTCCTAGTACCTGTTCCCAGTATTTCCATGTTACTGAGAGCTCGTAGCGAATCTGAACTCGCACTGAACTTATTCGTCCATGAAAAGCAATAGTGTTTTGTTTGAGGCCTTATTTGAATACGGTGATGGCGATCACTAGGCAACCTTGTCGAGATTATCTACGGCTTACTAAGCCAGTAAGCAAAGAGGTCCCGAAAGGTTTGAGAGTGAAATATCGCGTCGGTATTGTAAAATTCCAAGATTCCAAGTCACAATGGCCGCGCCATTGACATTTAGCGTGACGTAGAATGGGTTTTTAGAAATTCTGAATCAGCGCGTCATAGCGTGCTTGCTTGGATGAGGACCGCAGATAGATACCGTTACTGGTGGTAGGACCTCTTGTGAGTCCGCACGGGTAGGTACCACCACCCCGCTTATTTCAACCGCGAAGCAGCAATGCGATTCGGTTTGAAGGGTGGTGTAGCCGTTGTAACTATACTGAGACCTTAGAACTTATATCTCAAGGTGGGTGGCGCATTTACGTTTTAAATGTCTATGGGCTCCAGTGACCACTTAACACCAGGTAGGCTATGAGATCGTCCACCCAACCAACCAACAAAAAATTAAATAAAAAAACGGTGATGGCGATCACTAGGCAACTTTTTCGAAATCAGCTACGGTGTACTAAGCCAGTAAGCAAAGAGGTCCCGAAAGATTCGAGAGTGAAATATCGCGTCGATATTGTATACGACACGGCATTATACATTCCAAGTTTCGAAGTCACAATGGCCGCGCCATTGACATTTAGCGTGACGTAGAATGGGTTTTTAAAAATTCTGAAATAGCGCGTCATAGCGTGCTTGCTTGGATGAAGGCCGCAGATAGATATGCTGCTCTTGTATTTAGAGACAGCGACATTGAGACGTGAGCTTGAAATCTTGTGTTCCAGTGTAAAGGAGACTTTGACCTCATACCTCAATGTCAGCGTTCACGTTGAGAGGTCTATGTGCTCTGATAGCTACAGGACCTAGTGCCCGGAGAGCTTGTTCACTCAAATCCCCAAATAAACTATACTTGTAACTATTCTTGAGACCTTAGAACTTATATCTCAAGGTGGGTGGCGCATTTACGTCGTAGATGTCTATGGGCTCCAGTAACCACTTAACACCAGGTGGGCTGTAAGCTCGTTCACCCGTGAAAGCAATAAAAAAAATGTCTTTATTGCATTAGAACATCGGCTATTTTTTAAGCCGAAAAGAGAGATAGCTTCGTCATAAAATTATACAAAACGAACTCGAAAAATCCGATCGCAAGTAAATGACAATTAACAAACGTTTTCATTACAGAATGGCGGGGAAAATGTATTTAGAAACAAACCAAAGTCCGCCATTCGCCAAAAACGGACCCTAGAACATAAGTGTTGTGTTACCAAACAAATTAGTGGCGTGCCTTTTAATAATGTTAAATAAAAACACAATTATTTATTCAAATTTATTCGTTTTTTTTTTACAGCAACAAAATACAATAAGTATGGTTAGACTCAGTAAAGGTTTTTAACTTTTTACGTCTGAACACAATGCTCTTGAAATTTGTGTGAATCACAGAAAATAAAATAAACATTATTCTTCTATTGTTACATTACAGACAAGTTCACATATCATTTACAGAATTAAATTTTGATTCTAATTCAGATTATGTATGCAAAAAAAAGGTAATGTTTTTTGAGCGGGAAACGTAATGCCAAAAAGAAATATCGAGTCCCTTACTATGTATCTATTTCACGGCATCTAGCAACTAAGTAATTAATTATTAATAGTAGCAATACCAAATACCACAATGACGAATTTTATAGGTAAATCTATCGAATCATTTTACTTCTTACTTATACTTCTTATAAGAGAAAAAAAAAGTGTGTGTGTCCGCTCCGACGCACGACTGGAGTTTACTCCTCAAGAACGATTATAAAATAAATAAATAGATAAGGGAATACGGGTATAAATGAATGCATTTTTGATGATACTTAGATTATGCACGGTAGATTTTTATTCTATTAATTATACAATAAATTTTTTGACATACATAAGGAAGCCATGAAAAAATATAAACAATAATAATTTAATATAATAGAATGTTGAGCAAGATTGATTTTATTCACTATTTACATCACCTTGCGGTGTATTTATTCCAGGAACAATATCAACATCATTGAATACTGAGACGATCGGTTTGTGGTAACTAAAATACGATACATGGACGTCGGACGATATATGTGTAATAAATCGCGAAAACATCGCATCAATAGTGGTATCATATCTAGTTACTAGAATACGTAACTTCCATATTTTACTGTATTCAACTGACACAAATTTATATTTATATCGATTATAAATAAATTATAAAATTTAAAACAATATCTCCGCAAGTTCAAAGTGTTTGTAGGTTAATATCGAATAAATAAATGTTTAGAAATGTATTGATATAGTTATGCAGGCGCTACACTGTACATGTATAATGTGTATGCTATTATACACACACAGATATATACTAAACATATACAAGTACATGGAGCCGAGCATACCGTGTGGNAATGTGTATGCTATTATACACACACAGATATATACTAAACATATACAAGTACATGGAGCCGAGCATACCGTGTGGTGGGGAATGGTCAGACTATAGCGCATAACGCATTTCGTGTGACATGCTATACTCTCTAGTACGATTTTGGTCCCCATAATTTTCATACCCCGGGCCTATATATGTAAATCGATTCTTAAGGAGTAAACTCCAAAAAACAATTTAAACCGGTGTTCCATTATTTTTTTCCACAAAATCCCTTACGTCAATTGACTAGCGCAATCATCTAAATGGCGGTAGTGCCTCGGCATGTGCCAGTCGGTCTTCATCGCCATTTGGCATCTCTCGCATTCACCGACTAGCAACGCATCGTACCATTTGTATGCGAGATCGACGTTAAGCTTTAAATGTTCAAAAGCCAAATCGACGAGTTCGAGTTCGAGTAAGCTCATATCGCTCGGCAGGTCAAGCTTCCTGCAAATCCCGTGCTTGTTTAGCAGAACTTCGATTGCAAGGTATCTGGATGTGAAGATGTAAATGAATCAAAACGTCATAGAAGTATTGATGGTTTAGACGGAATAAGCAAAGATATCAAGCTTATAGGGTATCTATTGCTTCACCGCTTATCTGATATCGTACAGAGAATGTCTCCACAGTAACATCGTTAATTTAGATGTCAATTTCTTATTTAAATTTAATGCTATGAGAGTATTATTTCATCAAGTAATCATCAACCAGTGCTTGGTGGATTTTGGATCCAAGTGCTTAGATACCACTTTTCTGTTTAGTTCTGTCGCGAAACAATCGGTTTGAAGGATGTGGCAGTTGTTATTCCATATAATTAAGTCACCTACGTTACGTTATGTAATGCATGCGTAACGTTTGCTGAGACGACCCTTTCTCGTACGTATTCAGATTAACAATAAAATTGATCAAATAAGTAGCTATTTAGTATTTAGTGTCGTTAGCCTATACTAAGCGAATTAACAACGTTGGTAGTAAAACAGAAACTAACAATAAAAACATTTTATTTAATAAAAAAATACAAACATATTACATACATAAACACGACAATTTATTTAAAAAAAAGTAATCACTCAAACACTATAAATTAGCATAAGCACAGTCGTCAAATCTTTGGAAAGACCCCGGAGTGAAGAATTGGAACTGACAGGCGTCCAGTCTACAGGAAGAGCTGCAGTATTTAAAATGCCAATCTTCAACCATTTTCTGCTTTTCGAGCAATTCGATTAACGCAAAATTAACAAGTGTGGTTTCCCAATCCGTCATCTTGGGTAGCCCCAAATTTTTCACTACTCCACTCCCTCCAATTACTACAGTATTTGCTATATATCTGAAGGCAGAAGAGGGCATTGAAATCTTCTAGTTTATTCAACATAGTTCAGGAAAAAAAACACTTCTAAACTACATAATTTATTTTTAAATATCGCGGTTTTTTTCGAATTTCGTGTAATTTTTTGGCAATTTAACATGATTTGCACTGATAAATTATGTTCTTTAACGCCTACAAAATTTTAAGGAACAATGTTGAAATTTTTATTTATGTTTAACTACACCATTAAACTTGAATTAATCGCCGTGCCAAGCTAGTTTATTCGCAACATAAAAATTAAGAAAAACCTGTATAAAGAAAATATAAGCTCAGGATCGATTTGGAAGTTTTATTTAAGAAACCCAAGCATCCAACAGTTACGTACAGCGTTGAGTCGATAAACAACTACGCTAAATAAATACATAGATGCAGTAAATCAAAACAGATTCATATACTAAACCTGGCAGGAGAAATGACTTGACTGGCATCTGTTTCTACAAAACCAGTAACTCTTGGGATGTCGTGACAGAGGAGAGCATGTGCGACCTTTGTTACTAAACCAGATAGCGCATGGGCCTCGCTAAGGTCGGCAGCTCTAACACAAGCTCCATCGGTCCTGGTAACAGCAGTTTGGGCCCCTCGCACAGCATCAGTCATCATAAGGGCATTATGCTAGCAAGAAATTAAAACAAAAAACCTTGATATACGAGTAATTAAACTACTTTACGTAATGTCTCTTTCTAGATTAATTCAATAAAATCGTTTGTAGCAAAACATTGTTAAAAGGAACCCGTGCAAAGGATTTGCGATAGAAATGGATAATCCCCGGAGATTGGCTCGGAATTGGTTTCAATAGAACAGCGTGAAGTTGTTTCAGTGATTGTTTTGCGGCTTCTTGGATGTACATAAGTTATTTTCGTGATACAAATAGGTACGATGATCTACCAAATATATTGTTATTAACAACTGTGCTCATGAATAGGAATGGAAAGTCGGTACCTTGGCAAAGTCAAAGTATTCAACAGCTTTTGAAAACAGCGGAACTAGTGATTCGCCTTCAGTTCCTCCAACGATAGGGACTCTAGTATACCGAGGTTCAAGACATAGGGCCCTTGCAGCGAGCGTGCTAGCACGCATTTCTGGTACTGCCAGAGAACCGAGCACCTTTCGTGGGTCATACCAACCGGTTTCTTTCAGCGTCTGAACAAAAAATCTACTTAAGCTAATATATCCTTAACAACAATCTCTTCCGAGGGTTATTTCCATTACGTTTTTCAATCGTCTGCAGAAATAAACTACTTTATATTACCTATATTCAACAGTAGCATATTATTAGCAGATTTATTTACGTAGTCTTCATTAGCAAGTGTTTTAAAAAGTATATAAATAATTACTTCCGTAAACGACCATACATACATATTACATGTAACACATGAAGATTTTAGTACATTAAAATATTACTGATTTCTTGTATGTTTATTTGACATTGGTAATTTTAACTTTATAAATTTTATGATTATAATACTATATTATTATAATACTATATTATTATATCTTTAAACGAGCAATACTTGTATATAAATATATATAATCTGAATCTCGGAAACGGCTCCAATGATTTTCATAAAATTTAGTATACAGCGGATTTCGGGGGCGATAAATCGATCTAGCTACGATTTATTTTCAGAAATTTTTGTTGGTGAATATATTAGGATTATGGCACAATATAGATTACTAGGAATATGCATAGATTAACAAATGATAAGATGAAATGTTTTTATATAAATAATTTTTACAGGTGCACAAAGGGGATTGCCCACTCTCCATAGTGTGCTAGGCCCAAGATGGACATCAAATATTACTATAAAAATGTACTGATTCAAATTCTTAAATATATTGGATATCTAAAAAATATATTGAAATTGACGCCACTATTATAAAAAATATAATAAAAATAAAAACTCGTTTTGAGGTTAATTTTCTATATAAATAAGTGTCGGATTGTGAGATACTTCAAGAACTTTTCTTTTCTTAATGTTTAAGATGTTCCTAATGTATTTTTATCCAATAGGGTATAAAAACACACTGAATTCTTTAAATATCTATATTTTCTTCATCTTCATACACAATTAGTATCATCTAAAAATAGCAAAGGAGAGCATATACACGGTTTTAAATCTCGGTCAGGGTAAAACCACAATTCACACAATGTTTTTAGTCGTAGTATGAAACGTTATTGATAAAAGTAAAATAAATCGAAGAAAAATCAAAACATCCATTTTGTACGCAAGCACAACACCACAAGCAGCAAGCGAAGTGTCAGTCAGTCAGATTAAATTCAGTGTTGTCAGTATAAAGAAAAATAATTACATGAAATTCATATATCGATTATTTTTTTAAATAACCGATAATTGATTTATATCTTAATCTTTTTTTTACGAGTACACATTATTTTTTATGTTTTTGTTTTAGTTGTACATATTTAAATAACAATACTAGTAAAGTTTTTTTTATTGCTTAGATGGGTGGGCGAGCTCACAGCCACCCTGGTGTTGCTAAGTGGTTACTCGAGCCCACATACATCTACAACGTAAATGCGCCACCCACCTTGAGATATAAGTTCTAAGGTCTCAAGTATAGTTACAAGTTAAAGTCCAATGGGTATGTCTTCGATGTTATTTTATGTGCATAAAATCCATTAAAATCGTTTGATTAATGATAATACTTAAAATGATTTATTTATATGTTTTATTTATATACTCAAAATATTTACTTCATACGTAAAAGGATTTGAAGCTGGCAATATTTTTCCCGCAAAAATAAAAATCCTTGTTTTTTCAATAGAGTTACTTTTTTTAAACTACTTATTGTAAACTACAGTGGCGCTTATTTGCAAGAAAGTAA